CCCCCCCCCCCCCCCCCCCGTGCAGCAGTCTCCTGGGAAGAGCATCAGGCTCGGGCTGGTCTGAAGTCTGATGTCTGAGCACCAAGACACCAGGTTCAGCGAGCCTCGCCAGGATTGTACTCAGTCTCCCCAGAGGACACCTGGGAGATGCGCCGCGAGGAGCGCCACAGCTTCCGCGCGAACTGGCTGCTGCGTACCTGGAGGGAGTAGGGATGGGATGGGATGGGATGAGGTGAGCCCTGGCAGCCACAACCCACAACCCCTCCGGCCGGCCAGCTTGCCCTCGTCCTCACCTCAGAAGGCTGCCCAGCGCCCACAACGATCAATTTGCCATCTTCCAGGCCCACCAGCACATGACTGCGCTCCTTGGTCACAGATACACTGTGGACTGGCACTTTCATGGGCAGGGGAGGCACAACAGGCTGTAATCTGGAGCAGGGAAGTAGGTGCACACTAAGTCACAACTGCGAGGACGCCAGCTAACAGATGCCTTTTCATGGATCTACTTTGTCCTCATTTTAAGTCTGGCTAAACTGAATTCCTGGTTTATAGGACGCCCACAACTGTGTAGCTAAGGGAGGTCCAGGGCAAGAATCCCCATGCTAAAGAGTAGTATGAACTCTGTGCCAACAACTCCCACCCTAGAGGGGCCAGGAGCTAAGTGTGGGGCTCACTTGTTCAAGTGAAGGATATGTAGAGAGCACTGAGCAGTCCCCAGCAGAACGAAGTCTTCTGCCACAGTCAGGGCTGTGGGCTGCTCAGTCAGGGTCACTGAAGCCCGCAGCCTCCCATTCACTGAATACAGGTGCAAGGAGTAGGTGACCTGGAAGAATTGGGGACATCAGCAACCGCCTTACCAATGCAGCTACCCAATGTCCTTGTCAGGTACCCTGTCCCCATACCTGGGCCCCAGGACGTTCAGAAGCAGAGCTCTGTACAACAATCTGGCCTTCAGACCCCAGTGCTAAGTGTGACACAGGTCCAGGCAGTGTGGCACCCGGAGGCCTTAATGCTGCCACAAACTGGCCTCGACGTACAGTATGTACGATCACAGTTCCATCCTACAGAAAGGCAGATTAGGGTGCTGGGCAGAGAACTGGAGGCTCTGGAGATGATGCCTGGGTAAACCCCGCCTCCCCAGGGCATGTGGACACACACCTCAGATCCAGACACAGCCATGTCAAGTTCAGTGCTGATGGCCACACAGCTCACCGCAGCCTCATGTCCATATAAGACCTGTACAGGCTTTGGTGCCAGCCCTGCCGACAGACCACTCTGTGGGAAGCCAGGGTTGGCTTAAGACTCAGGCAAGTGAAGATTTTTGCAAACCAGAGTGTTTGGGGGTAATGGAGGCCCAGACTTGCTCACAGTATAAGGAGAAGGAGTAACAGGGCTGTTCTGAAGGCTCCCTGAGGGGCAGATGGACTTCTGGTCTGGGAGACAGGGACCTCACGGGTCTGCCCACAATACACACCTGCTGCAGAAGACGCCACACCATGCACGTGGTGTCCCGGGAGCCGGAAATGAGGTAGATGCCGCAGGTGTCCAGTGCAAGGCAGGTCACTACATCTGCATCGGAAGGGGAGGACATGAAAAGATGTTGAGCCCTCCCAGGCCCAGCTCGAAACCCCATTCCACATCTGCCTGCCTCGTTCTCCAAGGCACCAGGGCTGCTCATACCGAGGTGTCGGCTTAGCTGGTTCAACAGCCTGCCACGGGGTAGTGAAGTTACTCGTAGGCTGCCATCCCAGTGGCCACCACTGAAGAGCAGCTTTCCGTCAGGAGCTACTGCTAGTGCTCGTCCACTTACACTGCTGCCTGGCACCCACGGCCCACTCAGTAGTTTCTGCACCCTAAACCACAGGGAAGGTGGTAGGTGAGGCTGGGCCACTGGGGAGAGATCTAGGCTAACAGAGATCTTAGCCAGACCTCTCCCTTGCAGCTGGCCTGCATTCTGTTTAAATGGGGAGGTGATTCAGGATGTAGGACATTCATAGCGCACCCCTACCCGCAGCTCTGCCTTACTTGGGGCTCCCCATGGTGGGATCTTTGCTGAAGCTGAAGTAGTTATTGATGTTTCGGTCATAGGGCAGCCAGCTATGAGTGCCCAGTAGCCCACTGGCACTGACAGTCACCTGTGGGTAAGAAGAAGTTACTGTAGCCTGGGGCGGAGGCAGAAGGGATGAAGCTAAGGGGAACCTGCCCGGTGTACTTACCAACATGTCTGAGGAGCTCTGGGTGATAAAGGAGTGTGACTGTCGGTGGGGAACCAGAGCTAACACCAGAGGTACACCCTCACTGACAACCTGCAGAGAAATGTGAAAGGCTGACTGAGAGACAGCGGAAGCCCACAACAGACAGCCTTCTTTGGCCCTTGACACCAGGGACACAGTGGGTGTCATATAGAGAGGTGAGTCTGAGAAGTAGACATGACAGCAGTGGGCATGTAGGAGGGCATCACAGAAAGACGGAGATGCTGGGGTAGACACAGAAGTCCCCAAGGTCAAGCTTGGGCTCAGCTCTGGTCCTCTCATCCTGTTTCTCCTTGGTCTTGGCCCAATGATAGCAGAAAAGGGGAACATGTGTGAAGATGCAGGAAGGGGTGCAAGGCTAGACTCCCTCCATCCTAACTGCACTCAGGAAGTCACAGCTTGCCCTGGCCCTCCTCCTACCCATATGTCCCCCAGATGTCTTTAAATCAGTCAGTACTCTCATCTGCCTGCACACGGGTGAGGACATGTGGCTAAACCCATCTTACACCAGAAGCTAAGTTCCTGCCCACTTCTCACCTCAGCAAAAAAAGCCTTGAGCTGGTCCAGGTTCTGGAAGATGCTAGGTGAGTTAGTGTCCAGCCGAGCAAGGCGAATAGCTGCTTCCTCAGCTGAGAGCCGGGGTGGGTGTGGCTCCTGTAGACAAGCGCTAGTCAGTTCCACGACACAAGTGTCCTTACCACGGTATTCCAAACAGTTCTTACCTTCAGCAGCTGACAAGGAGTCTGCCCAAAGTTGCTGATGATACCTTCCAGAGCCTTCCGTTCCCGTTCATCTGTCACGTGGTCCAGGTCAACCGCCCCTGAGAGGAAGGTGAGCGGTTAAACTCCTTCATTGTCCTTTCTTTGTATTGTCACTGCCTGTGCCCTGGCCCCATCTCATGTGTGGGATGCTGCCTACCTTCATAAGTGCAGTAATAGAAGACATTGAGGGCTTCCTCGGCTGCTGGGCCCCGCTGCTTATAGCCAAAGATGAGATCGATCCACTCATGCAGGTGGCTGGACACATACTCTGATTCCTGAGGAGGAAGTGGCAATCAATCCAGGGACGGAATCTCACCTCACCTGTCAACCCTGGCTGCCTGTCTGTATGCGGACACCTCCTCACCAGAGCCCGGCGGTGCTTCTGGATGAAATCCTCAGGACAGCTAGCCCATGGGGGCAGCACCACATCACCCACCTTCTCGTTGGTCAACTGGAGGCAGCCCAGGTCAAAGCCTAGCAGAGGAGAAGGTTAGCAGTGTGCCTGCGTATTCTTCACCATCCCTGGACACCCCTGTCTGTGCATTCATGCCCAAGCCCTGGTGCCTCGAATGCTACCATTCTGGTTCTCCAGGAAGTCAGGGAAGTAGAAAAACTCTGGGATGAGCTCCTTCACGTCGGCAGGGCTCTCCAGCCGTGCCTGCCAAGCGGCTGCCACTGAGTGGAATTGCCGATCAGAGCAGTCGAAGCTGATGGAGAGACACAGCCAGGGTCAGATGGTCGATACAGAGGGATACATAAAACCAGAGGCAGCATTTAAGCAGCTGCTAGGAAGACTGCGTGCCCTCCTCCCCACCCTTTCATCTCCCCTGGGCGCACCGGCCACTCTGTAGCTGGACATGCAGGGAGGTGAAGGGTTCCACTCGGATGAGGTAGTGCATCACACCTGCTGCGTTGGAATAGTGTGTGCCATAGTGGAACTTGTCGATTGTGCCTGCTGGGTCCTCAAAGCTCTCGTATCTGAAGCCACGGGCAACACAAGTCAGCAGAAGACCTACATCCATCCATCCCCAGCCCGCTAAGCCCTGCCCTGCCCACATGCTCACTTCTCCCTCACGAGCTGGGCATGCTTGGGGTTCACCACACCGATGGGTTTGGACAGGTCCCGGAAGACAGCTGGATTGCTGAGGTCCAAGA